AAACATTTAAGACCAGTGTTGTGGCAATAAAATAGAGGAGTGAGGTTAAAGCACTAGCCTGACAGCAATCTACTGTCCTTCAGTCCTGAAGGCTCGACGTCATTTTTTACCTTTCCCTCATCGTTACTATTGCCAGGTTTACATGAGGACGGTGTGGTATTCCAGCTCCCTGTGACCCAGTTAAAACCCTCTCAGTGCGTTTGCAAAAATTTCATTGGGGCACGTGCAAAACATAGCATTTCAGCGTTGCAGAATAGTGTGAAGACTGTAAAGTTGCATTGCCAACGGTAGGCAGTTCACGTGTTTCTGCAAAAGCAAGCAAACCTGCCGTTCATCCCTGTATTCCGTGGCTGTTATTCACTCTTTTAATGGCTGCTCAGCTTGTGTTTCACTTCTGATGAGTTGAAAAGAGAAGGGCTAAAAATCAATTCATAATTATAAGGTACAAAAGTAGATTGTTATTTAATGTTCAAAATAGTCAACTGACTTTTGACTACAAAATGTCTTTTGGTTCCTCTTTAACCCAGAGGCTCTGTCTCATCAATTTTCCAAATCGGCAGTTCGTTGTTGTTTCCAGAACTTCATCCATCTTTGTTAAAGCTCTGCTGGAAGATTTTTTATTTTTTTATAGGCCCCCCTGCCCCTTAGAAAATGCACGGTTAGGGCTACAACCAAAGCACAAAAAGTGACATGGAACTCTGTGAGTGATCAGTGAACAAACTGACATGCCATCGCTGCTGCAGCGTCCTTGGCATGCACGTGGAGTGCGCGTGTTAAGTTATGCCCATTTGCATGCACGCACAAATGGAGTAAAGCTGTATAACGAGCACTTGTGCATCATGTGAAATGGACAGTATAGTCGTGTACAGGCAGATGTGTGGGCATTAAGATGTGCAGTGACTGAAAGAGCAGCAATGTTTGCGCATCTTAACAGTGATCACTCCCAACACATCAAATCAATGTTTGCAAGCATGACGACAAGAGAGAGCCGCCGTTAGCCTCTGACACGTGGGTGTCACTGTTGCAGCGGAACAGCTGCTCCGCTCTCCTCGGCTTCCACTCGCACTCTGAGGAGGAAGTTGTGTTGGTGAAGAGTTGTCATAATGCAGGCATAAGAAACTTATAATATGGGAGCGTGTTGAATCAGGGGTCTTTATGCAACATCCCAGGGAAGCCAGCAGATTGAGACCAGCGTTGCTGAATATGGAAAGAGGGCACACAGCAAAGGCTGCTGGGAGTTTCTGATTGGCTCCTAATGTTGCTATCCAGGCCGGGATTGGTGGAGCTGACGCAGCCCGACATCACGTTGTCGGGACTAAACCCTTTTGAACTGAGGAAAAGCAGGGAGGAACAGATCTCAAAACACACACACGTGCGTGCGTGTGTATGTTTGTACGTGTGTGTGTGTGAGTGAATATGTGCATACACACTCTTATAGAAACAAATCCACATCTCTTAAAATTACTGCATGCAGCTGAGCATGAGAGCTGTACAGGCACATTACGAGTGTGCATATATAAACAGGCTTCGCTCCGTGTTGATATGTGCAGGGAGAAAACAGAATTCCTAATGTCCCAGGGCTCATCTCCATATATGATGATCTCTGGTGAATTTATGCATTTAAAAGGAAGACGTGTGAACTTCCTTGATTTACGAATTCTCTTTTATGCCCAGCTCTGAGGTGGACAGAATATGAAGCAGCGAAAAGCACAGCCAGCGGATCCTATTCCACCTTTTTCCACAACACATTTGTCCCTCAGACGTTTTTGACCATGACAGTCAGCGAGATTTGGACCAAAGATAGAAGCCGTAGGTATTGGAGGAGCCAGGAAGTTGAAGTAAATTGGAGTGTGTGGTTTCAAACTTGTCAGCTGGTCTTTAGTCTGATAAAAACACAACGCATCTAGAGCTACAGAGAGCATTGACTGGGCCCAGAACTCCACTCTGCACATGATAGAGCTTGACGCAACACAGATCCAGGCCTTAGCTGAATACCCTAGGACCAACTTTGAACTTTGCACAAAGAGAATTTTAATTCTGGGTTCTCTTTATAAAAAGCATTGGAAGAAATGGCTTTGTAGCGAGCACTGCAAAAGCACTGGCATATAAATATATATATATATTGTCAAGACAAGGAAAAAAGTTATTTGGAATTAGAAAACAGATTATTTGGCACAACAAAACGCTTTTGAGACTTTTACATCCTCACACAGGAAAAAAATACAAATTAAAAAGGAATTTAAAGCAGCATGAAGATGAAACAGTTAAATTATATTTAAAAAAATGTTTTTTTGGATGCATCTTATTTATAAATAAATAAGATGGATGATGCAATTGCATCTGATCTCCCATCTCCCACCGCTCTAACCCTGGGAAAAACAGTTACATATATTTGAACAGACGAGGAAAACCTAATAAAACATTAACACATTCTAACAAAATTGTTCTTCTTTTTCACGTGTTCTCTAAATCATTGTCACTCTAGAATGGTTCTGTATGAAGTGACACACAAGGAAAACGACGGCAACATCCAATCGCTAATCGTTACCACTTAAAATGAAAATTGGAAAATAAAAAAGTACATATTTTTAATACTGACAACCAGATATTGGGGAAATATTAGGAATACACCAGGAAACCCTTCATCTATAGATGTTGTTTTCAGTTACTCACAGTAGTGGTTTGTGGACTGAAGCCCACGATGTTGTTTATGCGGAATAATAAACATATTCAGGTGTGTTAAATGATCCTGTGAATCTATCTTGTCATTATTATTCATGGCATTATTTAATGTTTGTCTCTTCGTTTCATTGATCTGTATCTGTTTTGCCTTCTGACAAAAAAAAAAAGTTTCATCACATCCTGGATGATTCATCACCTTAGATTTAATTGCGTCCAGTGCAGTTTGTGTAGTCATGTGGCAAAAACCTATTCACTTTTAGATTCAAATAAATTTACAGCACACTCTGCTGCAAGTTAGAACAGGAACAATTAAACAGTACGCACACAAATCCATCACCTTATCTAGAATCACATGTTTTCACTAGAGGACAAATTTGGATCACAAAGACAACACTGTTCCAACAAGACGACGGTGTGAAGAATCCTCTGCTGAAGTACTGCAGAGGGTCATGAAATCTTTGGATGATTTAACAAAATGTTTCGTATATTATTTAAGACTATGATCCAACTGATTTCTTTTACAAGTTTTAATGGCTTTAAATATGACGTCATATGAATCTAACACCACAAAATCTAATGGATATATGAAGGCAGAAGATGTTTCTTTTGATAAAATGCACAGATTCATCCATATAGAATATAAAGGCCAAAGACCTTGAACAAAGATACTGACAAACCTCGATCTAAAGATCCAGCAATTACATGACCAAAAATTAGCAATAAACAACCAAACTTCCTTTGGAAATACTGTAGATGATAATTTCAGGGTTAGAAAGCGGCATTTTCTCATGTCTGTAACATAAAAGAAAGCAGCATAAAACAAATATTTTTTCCAAGTTTCACGTTTTTGTGCACATTTACGTACCCAAGAACACAATCATTTCCAAAAGGAGAAAAACAAAAAAAAGGGCCTCAGAAAAAAGTGAGAACACAGTGGAGTATATAGACAATAAGCTGTATGCTATTAATAAAACATTAGATGAGACACAGCAGTGAGTCAGGGGAAATGCATGACTACACTTTTGGCTTCATTGCCCGTGGCACTTTGGCTTAACTTTGCCCAGAGTAAGATGTGACTCTACTTATGGCCACAGAAAATAGGAGAAGAATCAGTTCTGATGGGCATTCTCCTGGTTCTCTGATGAACATCAGTTCTTTACCCCTGCAGCCTAACGGGGGAAGTGAAACTCAAAGATAACAGAAACTGTGGAGCGGGAAGATTCACAAAGTGGATCACGTTTTTGTGAATCTATAAAAAATACAACACAAATGACGTAAGATTTGTGCATAAATGTTCGTGTGTGCTGTTTAAATCTGAGAATCTGTCCTATGAATTTTTTATCTCTTCTCAACTTGTCAGGTCCCTCCCTACATTTATTATGAGTGAGCAGTCACAAACACACACACGTACACACACACACACTCTGTGTGCATTAATGTTCTTACATCACCTTTGCCAGCGAGCAAAGAAAAGACATCGAAGTGAAAGACTCAAGACATGAAAATGATAAGACAAATTTTGGTAGTGTGTGAATGTAAATGTTATGGTTTTTGTTGTTGTTTTTGGTAAAGTGACCCAAAAAAAGAATTCTTCAACTGCAAAAAAAAAATTAGAGTTTAAATATTTTAGTACTACAGTAGGTGAGTCCAATGTGTGGCATGCAGGCCAGAAATGGTACTTGCTAAAGTTACTTTCAAATTTAAAAATTAAATTAAAGCAGCCTTTTCTAGCATACATTCAGCCAACGTTTTGGCTAAATTAAGCTTTTTTCCCCCAATATCTTCTGGAATATTTAGGTGCTTTTAAATGTTTACAAATTTAGGAAACAAAATGTCATTTTATGCAAATATGCAGATTAATAGATATATGAAGAGATAGATAAATACTTTATTGATCCCAAAGGGGAATTTATGTTTACCTAATGGTTTCTCTTATTTTGTATATTTTGTCTACCTTTTCTGTTAGTGTTTTGTTAGCTATTTTGCTTAGAATTCTAGAAATCTTTGCTTGGAATTCAACACTTTTTTTTTTCTAGTTGTAGCCTAAACATTGACCACAGTGAAGCATCTCTCCATGGTTCTCTCTGGTTGGATGGATCTCAAACACATTAACTCTGTCTGGCATTGTTCTTCACCCATGAGGCTTTCCCCCACAAACACAATGCAAACGCAGGCACACGCCTGAGCTTCACCTTCTGACCCCCCCCCCCCTCCTCCCTCCCCCGCTTAACCCTTGGGGATCAGCTTTTATTTAAGGGCATCATTTTGGTTTTTGTGTGTGTGTGTGTGTGTGTGTGTGTGTATACGCATGTTGTTACCTTGTGTGGGATCGTGGTTTTCCCAAAAGCATTTAAGCAGTTCTTCAAGGCTTATGTCTTTAGGAGAGAAGACCACCCTCACCACTTCAGTGTGTCCAGTGAGACCTGAACAGAAACACACAATTTTATGACTTCATAAGAAACAACACTCAAGACTCTAATTGTTCATGTCCTGCATTATGATGTGACCACTTTGTTACTGTAAGTTCCGACTTACAGCAAAAATCAAGTTACGTTGCAACGTAGAAGCAGAACTCAGACGTGAGTCGAGGAACCCGATAGTACAAAACCACATAAACGCAGTTGCATAACAAATGCAATACTCAGAATACACCTCAGAAGAAGCCACAAGCAACCTAGTAAATAAAATTTCTGTTGCTATGGGTACATTCTGTACTAGGCTCTTTAATGTATACACAGCTTCATATATCCATGATTTTATGCATGTGCAAAAAGTCTAATCAACCAAAGAATTTCAGAACCCCCTGCAGTACCACTGCAGAATCCCTAGAAGTGAGGGAACCCCTGTAGAAGCGCTCCATTGTGAACTGTATAGAAATACTAAGCAAAGCTATGCCTCTGTCAGGGTGAAGCAGCAGGACAGACCTAAAGCGCTTCATTTCCTTTGTGCTTTTGTCTCTTCAAAATGTCTTGATACGTAATTATTCCTCTCTAACACCAGTCATCGTTTATTCAGACAATCCTTTGGTCTCAATCCTTAGTGTTCGTCCATAAAATATGAGGTCAATATTAAACAAAATCACCAATCACATTAAAAGAATGTATGAAAATATAGGACGGTAAATGACTAGTCAACTACGTGGTGTCAATAGTGAGGTTAGAAATCCTCAGAACGTCAGCCAATGCCCCCCACGGTATTGAAATTACCCGATTTCTTGTTCACACTGTTGGTGGTGGCACCACAACAGATTATAAAAAACGTAAGGAGCACAGAGACAAGGAAACACACACACACACACAGAGAGATGTCTGCAGCTGCCAGGACCCAGAATACCTGCCAGCAGGTATTCTTCAACTGGTTCTGCTTATGGTCTCACAATAGGTGGATTTAAACACACATGCACAAAATGTGCATATGTACACACATACAGCATACACACACATATACAATCATTCCCAGACAGACACATGCATCAGGTACACCGCAGACAATGGCAGACACACTGCCAAAAGAATGCATCTGGTCTGAGGCACACACTTGTGTGTCTACAAATGACACTCACAAAAACCCAGAGGATGAATGTGTGCCAAGACGATCACAGAGGACTTTATCTCCCTTAAATACCTGTTTGTTACCTAAATCAAGAACAGGGACACTTAGAAGTGGCTTGCAGTAGAACAAATCTTTTAAAAAAAGCATTCATTTTTTTTTCCAATTTTTTTTCCTAATATATATTTTATTTCAACTTTTAAAACCAAGAACATAAAAGTGCATAAAATGACTCTATTAAATCGATAATTTTGAAATTAACTAAAACTTAAAGTTTAAAGTAAAATACAAGAACAAAATCTATTATATAAAATTATATAAAATTATTATAAATTATTATATAAAATATAATGATATAAGATTAACAAGATGACAAAACATTATACACAAAAATATGCAATAACAAATACACAATGATAAAATAAATAAAAATACACCAAAAGATAACCGAACAATAATTTAAATAAAAATAATTTGTAGTCCAATTAATATGTTTCAGTAGTTTTAACCAAATAGCAGTAAACCAGTTCAGAATACTTAAAAGTAAAATACTATGGTTGAAATTGAAACAAAGACAAAGCACAGACTCATGCTGGTGTCAACATTTGTAGCAAAAAAAATTGCTGAATATGTGTCATCCTTTCCCCTGTCATGCTCTATTTAAAGGGGGGGTCAGAGTGTTACAAAGAATCACCCTCAAAAGTGCTGCCGCTCCAGTGTGTTTTTACTAAAGGGTACTTCAGCAGGGTGAATGGCCTTCTGGGTAATGAGCAGACTCCCAAATTAAAATGTGTCCCTGCTGGCCCTTTGTCGTGTAACTGTTCAGAGCTGCTGCAAACTAATTGAGAAGTTCATTAAGTTAAGTTGCTTATACATTCTAATTTGATACAAATCAGATTAGCTTGGCTTCAGTTACACTACACAACACAGAAGTAGGAAGTGTGTTCACCACAGTAGAGGATTCTACACTTGAAAAACTCAAGTACATGTTTCACCGCTAAGGTTTAATTTTTAAAGCAAAAACGTTGTCGTGCACCAATGAAAAGTTCATTCATTAAAAGATAAAGATGCTCCTAAACCATTGCCATATCTGTAACCAAAGCCATAAAATGCGATCACAAAGTACTGAAGGGAGATCCTGCTCAAGAAGTAAGAGATAAGACTTGTGACTTCTATGATACTCTTTGAAATGAATAACTGCAGGAATGTGAATGCACCAACATTTCTCAAGGTGGAATTAAAGCTATTTAGACCGCAATGCTACATATATATTAATATAGTATATTAATAAAGTTCTATCTATCTATCCACCCACCTATTTATTTACTGAACTGTTTGTATTATCAAGTATACATACATGTCTTTTGAGGGATTTCTTTTGATTTTGAATGATGAAATGAACCAAAAAATTAAGCTTACTTTAACAAATTCTGCCATTTGATAAAAATGTATTTAATCACAATTATTGTATTACAAAGCCTTTATTTAATTGGTATATATTAGGGATGGCTCAATGCATGTCCGATACTGATACTGCAACTTGGAGTATCTGAGATTTCAATATTTATCTGATACCTTCTTTTCTCCTGCAGCATGACAACGTTAACCAATGAGCAAGCAGTTGAGCATTTAGGTTTATGTATTGAAATGGAAGGGTTATAGCGAGGGTTTTTTCGATGTCCGATCCTGAAATATATATTTTTTGTTCTTTTATAACTTAACAATTTAACTGTGTAGCGACTCTAAAATAAAAATAATTACTGATTAATATATACTATCCTTTGAAAACAAACCTGACTACGCCTACACTTCTCCTATTCTAGTCTGTCAGGCCATCCGAGGATCTTCCTGTCCTTCCATCCCTCCCCAGCTCTGCTGACAGTTTCATCTGCTCCATCTGTCTGTCCGTCCTGCCCTGCCCTGACTGTACTGACAGCTCCTCAGTCTCCTGCCATTGCAGTGTTCTGCTCCGTCATGGCCACTGGAGCGACACCTGCACCCTCTCAGCCGATGGACAGCCAACCATTCTTACTTGCACCTTGTTTTTCTTCAAATTTTCTTCCTCCTTAAAAGTTTATTTTACCAGTTCCCCTCACTTGCTGCAGTGTTCAGACTGTCTCTCCATCATCCATCTTTATCTCTGTTCTCATCTGTAGCTGACCATCTTGTCTCTGGTGGAGACAGGTGGCAAAAGGATGAGAACCATGCCATCCCTTGAATGCCTCTGTTCACACAGTCTGTCAGCCAAGGACAAAGCTTTGTTCCACTCCTCTCTATGACCACCATGCAGTGTCTGCACCTACAACCCACGACCGCCTGCTCCTCAGGCGAGAAGCAACCCCTAAAACTCGAAGCTTGTTCCTTTGAAAACAGTCTTAGACTGCTCTCAGGCATCTTTGCTTGAATTATGTATCAACCACCGCTACATCATCCACTTGAATCTCATGAGAAAGAAAGCAGCGAGGAAGAAAGGCAGTCACAGACAATGACTTGTAGCCAAACATATTTGTTGGCGCTAACAGCAAATAAACTGAATTTGAGTAAAAACATCTCGTTCAAAAACATTGTTTTTTGAGGTGGGGGACGTCCATTCATGCTGTTTTCAACACAGTTACATCCTTTAGAAAATACCGCACTACAGCAGAGTACAGAGCCCAATCGTTACAAGTAGGTCATGGGGGGGTGGGGATGCAGTTGTTGTAGCCCATCTGGAGCAGTACATTCTGACTAGTTGACTGCAGATGAAGGGGAAAGAGGCGAGAGGATGTAAGCGCTGTACTTAAAAACACTGGTTCTGACTCTGCTCTGCCTCAAACATTGGCGGAATTTTACAGAGAAGGTTTTTGCCAACTCCCTTCACCGCAGCACAATTATTTAATATGAATCAAAGTGTAGCAGCTGTACCCATCATGCATAGTGTAGTACCTGAGCAAACCTCCTGGTAGTTGGGGTTGGGTGTTAAGCCGCCAGCAAAGCCAACTTGTGTGGAAAAGACACCGGAAAGACGCCAGAAAAGTCTCTCTGCTGCCCAGAAACAGCCCATACCTGAATATAAAGACAGAAGGCTGAACCCAGTGTTAAGGCTTTTTACAGAGAGAATCGTAACAGTTTGATAGATGTTTAGAATTGGGAATCACATGCTGCAGGCATATTCAAAGTCAAGCCCAGAGGCCAATCATGGCCCTTCCAACAGCATTAATAGGCTACTTCATTATATTTTAAGCACCAGCAGGATGGAATATTCACTTTTTAATCATTGGTTTCTTTCTATTGGCAAAAAATCAAGGGCAATTCGAATAATTTTAAGTGTAATATTATTAACATTGAAGCTTTTGTTTCACCCATTAACTAACATTTTGATAACACTGGCTCGCTTCTTTGGATAAAAACTTTTGGCAACATATTTGCCATATATATATATATATATATACATATATATATATACATATATATATATATATATATATATATATATATGTATATATATATATATTTTGTGTACCTTCTGCCATTTATGCCATTTTTGCATCAACCTTTTTGCTTAGCTATCCCTTTGTTTTCTTCTCTTTCTTTTTGTTATTTAACTATACTGAAAACATGAACAGATTTCTTAACATTTTTATTCATCTATAGATGATCAAATGACACATGATTGTGTTGTCTCACCAAACATGATGATCTCTGTGCCATCTGGAAAAGGCTCCACAGTGGCATTTCCACTGACTGCATGATGGTCTGTAAAGGGACACAGAAAAATTGCATTTATTTACCAGTATCTTATCTCATAGTTTTTTTATTATATAAATTACAATAAGCCTATGCCAGTTGAAAAAATAGGGACAGCAGACAGGCCACATGGGCTTGCACTGTGTTACAGCTTGACCCAGTCCATCGGATCAGAATCAGAGGGGCTTCTGAGTTGGAAGACAGTTAAGAGATTACAAGGCTTTTACTGCCATTACATCCCTGCTGTCCTCTCCTCAATACACACAATTAAACAAACAATTTTCTAATCCCTCTCTAAATCCAGTCTACATCTTCGAATGTAAGCATATAAAGACAGGCTTGGCACAATCAGGTAGCTGCAACCTAAGCCGATGATGATGACATAAAGTACCGCTCTGACCACAAGAAAGAACCTGTATCTTGACCGATTGTTCTCTAATCTACGTCAACTTTATTGCTAACCATTCAGTAAAATGAACACAATTGCAAATAGGTGTTTGTCTACTACCAACTGTCGTGGACATAATAAAGAGTGCCAAAAAGGAACGATACATGTGTGTACGTGTTTGTGTGTAGTCCACAGATGTGAGGGGAGGATTAAGGGTTAAGAAGACTGAAAAGACTTAACGTGTAAATCTGCAATAAGCAAGACTGGCCTGTAGTGCAACCACTAATATTAGTCTACAGATAAACAGGCCATTGGGTTCACTGTGGGCTTAGGCATTTACTTATAACGCACATTGCTCTATATTTGTTCTCTGCATAATTGCTTTAATGGTGATGAGATGAGACACTGAACCAAACATAAACAATCTCTAATCTGGCACTGGCATAAAGATTATTTCCTTGATTGCTATTAGGAATTTCAAGCTTTACATACAGCAGGGCTGCAGGCAACGGTCAACGTGACATTTCTGAGTGCATTTAAGAGTTTGCTACACCTTTGGCTAAGGCGCAACTAACCTACAACAGGTTTCTAAAGGTTATAGAGGGCGGGGTATTTTAGCAAATGTTGCTACGAACACAGGAAACTGAATGAAGAATAAGCTATTTCTTTTGGCTAAATTGCAAACCAAAATGACAAGATGAGTGTGATTCCATTGCCACTAATAACATGTAATAACTGCAGCACAGGTCACTACTGATTTTTTCTGGACATGTCTTAACACATCTCTTATATAGCATTGTGATAAATCCTCTTTGGGGACATGGGGGGGCGGGGAGGGGATCACAGGTATATAAGAAATGTACATTACAAGGACCCAACCTAAAAATAAATACATTAAGATCTTCAAATATTTCAGTTGTTTAAATAATACATATTTAAGATTTTTTTAAACTCAAACATGGACTTTTTGAAGCCCACACAACACAATGTGAAGTGTGTGTTAAGGCCCTAAAAACCAGTCAACATCAACTACCCTTGGTCTGTTTTCAAACTAATGTTCAATTACAAAACCACATGGTAATGTCACAATAATCATAATTACCAGACAGAAAGCCCTTATATTGTACTCATAAAGCCCATCTTTGTGTGTCACCTTGAGGGTACTTTGGGCTTATACAAAACTATGTTTTGGTTCTATGCGGTAACAGATTGCAGAAGCATAAACGGCTCCTAAAATGTCATGGAGTCCTGGCTGCCTGCAGGCAGTCTGTTCCTGCTCTACTGTTGTGCTACACTTCTGTCTTTTAGCAGCAGGTTGTTTGGCACTGCCAGGTCACATTCACAGGCACAATCAGCTGCAATCAAAGCAAATCCACGTCAGTGCCTGCACTGGCTAAATATTGTGTGTGTGGGAGACTCAATATGGTGGGAGGACAGGAGAGATCTTCAGCCTTCCCAATGCTCACCAGACTGCCTGTCAACAACTGGTGGTCTCATTATCTGCTCAGAAACGGCTTCTCAACGCCAGAAAACTGAAATTATGACATTCTGTAAAGTTCACAAATTCCATATGATGACATTATTCTTCTCATGAAAGCCAACTGAAGGTAGCCAACTGAAAGATGCCATCACATAACTTTCTTGGAGTCGAGGTTGATGACAGGCTAACCTTCACTATACATGGGCAGCTTATCGTAAAAGATGAAGACAATGCTGAATTCTTACTACGAGAGTAAGCCTTGGCCTGAACAGACAGTCACAAAAACATTGCTTAGTTTATATTCTTAATTAATATAAACCAGTCATACTCTCTTCAGCAGATTTCCTTAATCATGACACCTTAACACTAATGACTCATAGCCACAGTTCATGTCAGGATATGAACAATGTAACAACAATAATAAACATTGATTTTTGGCTAGATTGGTATTTGGGCACTTAGTTCCCTTCCTCTAGCCTTTAATTTTGTGACAGTATACAGTAAAGCATTAATGCATTGGCATTAATGCGTGGGAGCTTCCTCTAGCCTTTAATTTTGTGACAGCATACAGTAAAGCTTAGTCTCCCACGCATTAAGCTAAAGATATCTTGGCTTGTCCACTCACTGTTAGATACACTTACTGAGTGAATGGCATGTAAATCTGAATAAGTTTAAAGTGTAAAATATAATTGTGTCATAAGCACATATGTTATAGTAGTACATATTGAAAACATAATTTGAACAAGGGAATCCTGTAGAAACTCAACAAAGGTGGCCCAAGGATAGTGTCTTGAGAAAACATACATGTAAACTTTATTTGTTTGCATTTATAATTTTCACAAGCCCAGTATTAGTAATAGATAGACAATAATTTAGTTTTCTTATAGTACATTTTATTACACTAACCTGAAGTCAATGAGTGCAAAACGTATTCTTAAAAGACTTAAGTTTTATCTCCATTTAAAATATGTTTCATCTTTCTTAAATGATTCTTGTTCCAATAATGCTTATTTATGTGCAAATTAGCTTCTCCGAATGTGTCTGGTCACCGTCCACAGCTTGTTCTTACCCTCTTGTCCTTTGTTTCTGGCCACTGTGACAAAAAGTGTTGAAGATGCCAAGTAATGGAGAGGGAATTTTGGAGACTAAACAAGACAAGTGTATAATAGGCTGAGCAGGAGGAGTAGAGATCGGCCTGCCAAAACAATACAAGGAGTATATAGACAGTGGAAAGCAACAGATGATGGTAGCAGAGAGGCAGTGAAGGATTCTTTTGGTTTTTGCCTTTGGGCAGTATATGAAGAGATTGGGCATATTATCCGAGAGAAAACAAACAGTTGGATAAATAAACAAATTAAAAAGCCCAGTAAAGACATCATGTAACACTTCAACACAGCTCTGTCCACAAGAAAATAATTCTCAGCCAAAATACCCTGCCATCGCATCCCCCTTAACTGCTCTCCGACTTCACTCCTAACTCCCTAAGTCACACAACCTTCCCATCATCCTTCACTCTTCTCTTGCAAACACAAGTGCACAATCAGCTCGGGTATTTCTCCCACTGAGCTGCTGGCAGTGGTCCAGGCAGTACCAAGCAGGCTCCTTTGACTGTGACCAGCCCAGCGCCCCCCTTCTACTAGCTGAGTGCCCACACTCACACTCATCTAAAGCACACAGTGACTGAAAAAGAACTGGCTGAATACCCTCACTACGATGCCTCACTATACGCCAGCAAAACACAGAACAGTAGACGACAAAAAACAAGCGGGGAGTGTGAGTGACTGAGCTCACAGCAGAAGAAAACAGCCCGAATTAGAGAAAGGATTCACGAGAGGATTTCTTTCCCAACTTGGATGAGATATGGGGGTAATTACCTTTGTTTGTCTTAGATTTTTGTGTCTGAAATCTTAAAAGCGTAGTACAGGTTTTAGAGTAGTACGGGACTGAATTCGAAGTCTTTGGCCACCTTTTGTTGTCTTTAGCTTGGCGGCTAAAGGCGGCTGGATCAGAACCAAGAAGGAAAAAAAAAGAAGATCAGATTCGGTTCTCTGTATCTCTTTTTGTACAACGGCTTCACCACTCGAAGAGACAACAATTTGTTGCTGAACAGATACTGTTTTGTGTGTTTTTAGTTTTTTTTACCCTTTAATTCTACCCCGGTCTTGTATTTCTCACCCAAACACTCGAAGTCCAAGTCCTGCTGCCCCCTCGGGCAGAGACACGGGAGATGTACTATCCCTGGATGCCAGAACTGGTGATGGAGGGAAGATTTCCAGGCTTCTCTGCTTATTTGCTTCCAAAAATCCATTTTCTCTCTCTCTCTCTCTTTCTATCCCTTTTCCCTCCCTTTCACTATTCTGCTTCCTGGCTTCACTAAGATTGGCAGAGAGTCAGGCACGAGTCGTCGGAGGAGGCTGACGCTCTATACTGGTGCCAACTACCCTCTGTTGTATGGGAGGATGGGCAGGGTAGGGGTGAAAATGAGTATGGCAAAAAGGAGGGGAGGAAAGGGGCCAGGATGGTGGGAGGTGGTCAATTTTTAATAATAGAATGAGGTAAGTCAAGAAAAATGCCTTTGCCTTTGTGACCTCAACACCGTCAGCTGAACTTGGTCTAGTGACACACATACACAAGGAGTTGCCTCTGCCCAGTGAAGGCAAGGAAACAGTCCAGACTCTGGAGAGTACAACTTTCAAGTCATCCATGCATTCCATACATTCTGTATCCTAGCAACGGAAACAGTTGCTATGGAGAAGATTTATCTACTATAGCACTGGCTTCATTATGATCCTAGAGCAAGATGGAGGCACATCCTGTTTTGGCCTGCTGTCAACATTTTTCACCAAACCTAACGATAAGGAGACAGGAGATGGTGTCTGCTGTGGTTTGAATCACAGCGAACACAGCGAACATAAATTTATAATACGTTGCTTGTACTTACCTTGTACCTTGTTTTTATGACTGCTCAAAGTACCTATTCACTCACTCATTCATGCAACATATTTATCTGCAGTGTCTTTCCCCCATCACACAAAATATCAATTCAAGAGCAGTCTGTTCAAGAGTCATGTTCAGGGACACAGCAAAGATCAGAAAGGCCTCCAATCTTAAGGTTTAAGAACCCACTCTATCTACAGACCCTAATTATGATTTGCAGTTTTTTCAGATTATATAAAACACACATTGACTTTGATAGATATTTAGATACATATTAGTTACATATTCAAAGTCTCTTTTTACAGCTCAGACGGAACAACCTCAAGAATGAACTGCAAACAAACTCAGTAAAACAGTAAAATTGAACTTAACATACCATCCAATTATTTCATATGCTAATTCTGCATGAATAAAAGTCAAAATGAAAAATGGTAGACGTCAGGTGTCCTTCTTATGCAACTCAATTTTCTGAAGGTTTCAGAATGCACAAGTTTCAGATCTTGCATAGAAAAAAGAGATTTAGAAGAAAAAGTGAGATCTTTAGCTTTGTTAGATAATCACATGGTTGCCTATACATACGCTCCTATATACTGTAAGTGGCGTTCAAGGTGTCATCACATCTTTTCATATGCATCTTCTCTTCTGTCCTGCTTTTTGATCTGTCGTCCTCTAAATAAAAATTACAAATTACCGTAGACAATTTACAAAAATAATTTACATCGTCCTCTAAATAAAAATTACAAATTAGACAATTTACAAAAATAATTTACGTTTTACAAAATTCTTGGTCAGCTCTGCTCTATGTGCTAGCAGCAGTTGTCTTCCTGTATGTGTGGTTCAATGCTGCAAGAACAAAGAGAAGACAAGCTGTTATCAAAGCAATATGCATCGATTCCTATCGGTGCAATTGGTTTTCGGTCTACATGACCTTTTTCATAGAGGTCATAGATAACTGCAATTTAAGGTGAACCAAAAGGCTGAGTCAAATGCAAACATAGAAGGAAACAATGCAATATAACCGTACAGTATAACAAAAAACATAATATAGAAGGACTGGCAATAATAAAGCTGGATTCGTTGAATATACATTTGCGATTTAAGTGCAGCGGCAACAGTACTCATAACTGAAACTCAGTGCTGCCCAGAAGCATATCTTTCAGACAAATTTATCTGCTGATTGCATTCTTAATTTTCATGCTTTCACACTAACTCACTGAGATTTTTCCCCCCACTCTGTCTTATCACTGCAATAACCAGAGAACAAGGACATCTAGAGACCGTGGAGATGAGAAAACAACAGAGAAATAAAACCACAAAAATATCTTCACCAAGAGTTATAGGGAAGCATGTAACAAAGATTGATTTTGGTCAGCTGACCCCCCTCATTCTGTTTGGAAGAAATATTGGCAGTCTCTACTCTGCACTGCCTCAAAATAATAGCTGCTGTGCCCCTACCATGTAGCAATCTGCCATTGGATCACTCCCGCCAAGGTCACAGAGAACATTATCCACAGTGGAGCGAGGGCGGGAACAGTGGACACAGATAGGGAAGAACAGGCATCTTTAAAGAGGCCGCAGGGCCTGAAACTATTTGAAAATTGAAATGATTTTCACTGTATAGTGGGTGAGAATGTGTGCAGTCACTCATACACAAGGCTGAGACAGCACAGGGCATATGTGTGTTGAATCTTCTTGCTGACAAACACACATGCAACGCAGAACAACCCCATCCCCACCTAAGCTGCCCCCTACGGTGAAAGGGGAGGAACAGATTTCTGCCATGCGGTGTCTCCGAGCTGCTTCGACAGACGGAGCAGGAACTTATGACTGGGCGGAGCCTTCATGCGCATAATGCCCAGATGGGCCCCTGGATGCTGCGGCACACCATCTTACTATGCACCCACAACCAGCTCCTGTACTGCACTTAGTGTAAGTTCATGTCTGAGTAGGTGATCTCTGCATGCATCAGGGTAAATTGCACAATTGTCAATCTTTGACATATATTCCTGAAAATATATGACATATATTCCTGAAAACCAGAAATAGTTTGATCAATAGATAGAGGAAAAGAACATAACAGAGGAAATGGAAAAGCTGCTAGTAAACATATCATATGTTTTAAAAATTAAATCAGTACAGGTATTACAATAACTGAGAAGTAAAGCTTGTTCAGTGGGAGATTGAGGGGAGTCATAATTGTAGCAAAAAAGGGTCAAATAAAAAAAACTAAAAGAAAATTTACAAATGTCTTAAATGCTTTTTACAGACATTCGAACATTTTGGCATAACACTAACTGCCAGATACGAACATTGATGCTGAGACAACTGTGCTCCAACAGACAACTGATCAGAAAATAGTAAGCTAACAATTACACTAACTCATATGCATCTGGATTATGTAATGGATGCAGCAAACCAACATTTTCTTAGGTCTGCGAAAGCAATGCTTGTATTCCTCAACCTATCATTGGTTAGTTCTGACTTAGCATCAAAGATGCAGACTATGGCAGATCAGAGGGTCACCATATTTCAGCTTAATCTATTGACCTTACTAACAGCCCAGAACATGATATAGGTGCTGGGCTGGAGACCACTCGCAAACTAGTTATGTTTCAAATGATTTGTTTAGTGTTAACATAATAGGAAAATAACAGTTTAAGTTCTATTTGAAGTTTTCTTTGAATTTACCAATATTCAAAATTGGCCAAACAAAATGAATGTATCTTAATAAAATGTTTGCTACACATAGTTCTTTTTAGTCTTTATTCTAAAAACAGCTTTTCTTTTTTTTAATTAACAGTCAGGTTTATTATATCTGGCCTCATCTAGCTCTCCCAAGCTCTTCCTAAGATTTTATTATTATCTTTCTGCATCCTGCTATTCTTTTATATCCAACCCTCAAATCTGCCAAATGATCCAAAAACATTCATAATTGAATTCATCACTCTGTCTCAAAACTAATTCTGCTTCTTATCCCTCGGCCATGTGAACAAAGTAATAAGGGCAGTAGTGGCATGAATTTATTCCCAAAGAAATAATTCCTCACCGAATTTGCTATTGTTGGCTTTTTTGGAACAGCTAAAGGGTCTGAACTAAGTTTAACACATTTTTGGAGTTCCTCCAAGAAAGGAACCAGCACTTAGTTTTACTCTGTTTGTTCTCACTTCACTCTTCAAATTTATTGATCACAGGTCAAACAAGTCTCCATTAAAGTTTTCCCTCTATGCTTGTACAAACAGCTGTCTATATTGTTCACAAGTCTTACAACAGTATATTTAAGTGAAAGTATTCTTAAAAGATGAAAAACAACAATGTAACAGGCAAGGGGATGCATCCTAGTCTGACATCTAACCATAAGAAGGAACAGTAGCTGAAATATCATAGACAATTTTGTATAAGTGCCAACATGTTCTCGACACTGTTGATAACTTAATCCATACAGATCTGCTTCATCCCAATTTAATCATCTACTATTTGTAACCCAATCCCACCATACATCCCAACAGGCTTATGCTGCCACTTGAGAATTTGTGGTTACATCATTACATTGTCCTCCAAAAGGCTAAACACACAGTCAGGCAAATGTAGACATACTTGGCTTACAAATCATTATTATTATTATTATTATTATTAGGGTCCTACAGAAAATAATCTGAGCATAAAAGTGTCAGATAACATACATCATAATAAATCCGTAAACCTTAGCTTACAGTAGAATTGTAAAGTAAAAGAAAAATTGGTTTTAAAATGTTCTATTAGAAGAAAGGACAGTTTGTAACTTGGATGATATTTAAGCCCTGTACAGCTAGTTTTATCTGAACATGTGGATAGATACCTTAAAGTAGTTTAAACTGAGCTGTGCACCAATCTTTAGACAGAAAACACATTTATGGTGGACCCAACAAGTCTCCGCTGTCATGTCAAGAACTGTCCACATACTTTACACCGCAGATTACCACTTCTAAAAGGCTTTTATTTTTCTACCCCTATAATTTGCAGAATTGATTCTTTTTCTATCAATTTCAGCTGTCTAAAATACTTTCAGAATGAGAACATCATAAAGCTAACCTTTTAGCAGAGTCTTTTTGTTGACCTGGTGTCCACAAAATCTGGTTTAATATTTCACAATATTGTGTGCAAAGTACAGTTACTTTATCAATCTATCTATATCAGATGTTCAAATATTTGTCACCAACAAAGTTTTGTTTAATAAATTAAAGTATACTTAATATGGGAACAAATTATTTTTGTTTTGAGACACTAAAATAAACATTGTGAAAACCAAATGGCAAGTCGATAGCTTGAAAAATCAAATTTATTTATCTTCTATTGTGACAATTCTATGTTCCAATCTCTAGGTTGAGGTCTTTAACAAGAAAGTAAGTCCATTTTTAAAACTCAAGAGAAAGTAAAGTCTATAATATGCCCATCTGGGAACATGTGTTTACCTTTTGACAAATTCCATTGAAACTTCATGGTTAGACAAAGACAAGACATCTAATGTGTATGTACATATGTATACTTTCTTAAAAGTATTTATTCCCCTTCCCACACTTTTTATGTTCAACAAGAATATTGTCTTTGTTTACCAAGAAATTTAATAAACCTTAAACGTTTTAATGCTTTCTGTTTAGTATTTTTTCAATACGTTTTGCTTTTGATGACCAAATTCAAAATAAACACTCCAAAACATTCTCAGTAAGAAGACATTATGGTGTACTTGGGTTTCCAACCACAATTACAGTTTTGGTCAAATAAATATTACATTTTTGGGACATATATTCTTTAAACGGAAACTGAGTTATTCAAACACAGTGTTTGTATTAAAAAACGGCTACACAGGTGTCTTTTTAGTGTTCCACCATGAAGTGTGTTTTTCGTGTTCTTTACCTGTTACGACCATTTTGTCTTCTCTTCCTCTCAGTGCTCTGTCTCTGCTCAACGGCTGACTCTTGTCTGCCATTTAAATGCCTTCGACACTCACACTCAGTGTTTGTGTGTGTTTATACTCGATAGAGGTAACTACAGTGGAAGTGTTTCCGTCTTGACGGAACGCGGTTGCGTTTAACTGCCGAACCCCGAGACTCGTGGCGGGGTGGGAGAGGGGGGGGAGGACGGGGAGGAGGGGGAGAGAAAGGGGGGGGGGGGGGGGGAGGAGGGGGGGGCGGAGGACGGGGAGGAGGGGGAGAGAAAGGGGGGGGGGGGGGGAGGAGGGGGGGGCGGAGGACGGGGAGGAGGGGGAGAGAAAGGGGGGGGGGGGGGGAGGAGGGGGGGGCGGAGGACGGGGAGGAGGAGGAGAAATAGGAGGGACGGTGGCGAAAAACGCCATCTATATGAATATTCATTATACGTGGGCACTGCCGTGCTCTGCATATTAACGAGTCAAGGGGTT